TAGTTGTGGGATAACAGTGCAAGGTGCTGTCTGTATAGCCTCTGTTTTAAAGGTATGATAACTTAACATTAAACAGTGAACTAAAGTCTTTCTTGTTGTGGTTATCGTGTGTAGGCATAGCTATCTGTAAAGCTCTAAGAAACACTTTGTCTGTGAGCCTAAGTAGTTGTGGGATAACAGTGCAAGGTGCTGTCTGTATAGCCTCTGTTTTAAAGGTATGATAACTTAACATTAAACAGTGAACTAAAGTCTTTCTTGGTTTTGGTTATCGTGTGCACGTGTTTTATTGTTTTCAAAAATGTTATTTAATTATTGCATCTTTAGGGCAAAGTTTTGGTCAGCTAAACCTGTATTATCAATACCTTCTGTTCAAAGGAAGCTATCAGGACTAAAAATTAATCCAGTTAATAATTTATCTAATTTAATAAACCTGTCTAACTAGAGTTATGTAATGTGTTAAAGTAAAAAATCTTAAATAATTAAAATGCATTTATTCATCTCTTGAGTATCCTCACTATTATCTTTGTTTTTGGCTAATTCCAATCCTCTGATAACTTAATTAAAAGACAGCAGCAGGATGAGAAGCAATGATATAGGCTAGTAGTATTTTCTGGTAATTTTTTTTTATCTAACAAAATAAGGTTCATTTCTATTTGACCATAACAAAGAATTGGGATTGACAGCAATAATTAATAAGATGCATTTTTTATATTTTTGGGGATCTTCATTTTCTGTCTTATGGTCTTATTTCTCTTCAAAACTTTTGGTCCATATGGTACTCACTTGTATGTTGTTGGTTTAAACTAAATCGTTCATTTGATACTCTCTATATAAGTTTACTTACTTATTTACACTTGTGTATGAATAATTCTGAATTAGTTATCATTCATTGTAATTAGTGTTACTTCCTCCTCACTGCTGCTGGTAAAGTATTTTCCTCCCGAGGAGTGTTACCTAGTATACACTTTTCCTCCTTGCAAGAATATCATAATGTCCTATAGTATACCAAGAAACAAGGATTCTCCCCCATAGGGCATTATGATATTCTTGTATACCAAGAAAGGGGAGAATCCTCACAAGAATATCATAATGCCCTATGGTGTACCAAGAAAGGAGAGAATCCTTACAAGAATATCATAATACCCTATGGTATACCAAGAAAGGGGAGAATCCTTGCAAGAATATCATAATGCCCTATGGTGTACCAAGAAAGGAGAGAATCCTTACAAGAATATCATAATGCCCTATGGTGTACCAAGAAAGGAGAGAATCCTT